AGTCTAATAAAATGATATAAAGGTGGATTTTATGGTATTTAAAGTAAGTTTTTTTTCTTTTTTTTTTATAAAATATATGTACTCAACTTTTCTTTACACATGATTTTGGATTAACATTACATAATAATTTTTAGAAACTATAATTAACACAATTTCATATTTAATAAAATAGTGATTTTTATTAAACAAAATAAAACTCTAGGATTGACATTCACCTCCATTTTTACAGCCAGATTTTTCAAAGAATAGTTTACTAACAGAAATTAAGAAGTTATTAGTAATTTTTTCGATAAACAACATGTTACACAAAGAAAAAAAAAAATTGGCGGGAAAATTTCACCCAGTTCTTTCAAATAACAACTTAATTGTTTCTAATGATCTGTAATAAAAATCCAATGTTTTAGGAGATTGAAATAATTATTTATCCAAGATTTAAATACTATGCATATTATTTAAATGTACTGTTGTATGTAAAATCGCAGTTAATTTGTCAGTTTTTCAAATAATTGAGTGTAAATGCAGAATAATTCTTTCTTTGTTTTGTGTAACAACATAAATAAAATATGTAAAAATGAATCAATAGTGAGTAAAAATTATATAATCATTTCACAAGCAAAAATGATAACTGCAAAATACGTGTGTATAATTCAACACTCGCAGTTTTTTTTAGAAACATTATTTTTCAATAATTAAATTTATAACACTCCTACAGCTATGAAAATTTTTGGGACAGATTAATCCTACAACGGCTCCTACCTTCGTAAATAATCACATGAATCGTATGATTAAATAGAAAATCACTTTGAACATCATTATCGTCATCACGCATTATTTTATGAAATACTAATTGATCATCAACATACCTAGAAACAAGTCCTAATTTATTTGCTTCATTTTTTGACAAATGTTCTCCAAGATATTTGAAGAAATTATCTTCTTTTTTGTCCACCCTAAAATTATCAAGAAATCTATCAAAATGGTTGTCTTTTGACATTAAAAAATTTCTAATCTCACTTGTCTCTTTGAAATTTAGCAGTTTGCTAGAACCAGAATACCTTGAAAAGGAAGATGTAAATTTGTTATTAATTGTTGGTGATGTTTGTTTTGCAGACTCTTGATGCGATGTATAAGCAATTTGTAGTTTACAGGGTTTTCTCCATGTGTGAGTTATGCTTGATGACATTATTTGCTTCTCACCCAAGCCACCTGAAAACCGTAATAGATATTATAATAAAGACGGACATTAATATTTCCAGATGTGCAAAAAATTACAAGAGAGCGTATTTACTTATTCTCCGCGATTTTTTGGAAAACAAAATTTCTCCATGGGCCTCGACGTAGTTCATCAAAGACCCTTTTCCACTCTGATTTGTGGATTCATTAGTTTCTTTAGAATCCATTTTTCTAAGTGGAATCATCTTTTGTTTATCCTCTAAACTAATTTGATTTAGTTTTTGTTCGATCTCTCTTATGTTTGTTGACTGTATTTTTTCTATTTTGAATATCTTGCTAAAGTCATCATCCCTTAATTCGCATGTGAGATCATTTTCTTCAATGTTACTTTCTTCTGCGTCTTTTTTCAATAACGAACGCGATCTATCCCCTGCAGATACAGTCCCTATCGTTGGGGTCTTGGGTGTACTGTTGTAAGTTGGACGAAGTTCAATTGAAATATTTCTACTACTGACTACGGACAAGTTGCTTGTGTTTACTGATCTTCGCCTTGATCTCACACGAAGCTTCTTGCTACAAGATTAAAAAAAAACTAATTAAAATACTATTCACATGGCTTAAGTATTTGAATTTCGAACATTAGATCTATTCAAACTACATGAGTACAATAATAACAGATATAGCAATGATAATTGGTACGAAAACAAAAGTGTTTTCAAAACATCAACGACGTTACTTACTTGTACCCAATATTGCTCGTTGAACTAATTTTGCTAAATACATGTTTCGAATTGACTTTGTGGGTATTCATAAACGCGGCGACATTGGATTTGCTTTTGATTGTCTTGCCAAACCAATCCAGGACAACATTTTCAGCCAAACAGTCTTCTAGACCGGATGCAAGACCATCCGCAAGTGTACAATAACCATTGGTAAATGACACAGCCTTTGAATTGTTTCCACTCATATTGATTCTTTATGGGCCTACGATTATAATTAACTTGTTAAAATTATTAAAAATCACGCGGAGTACTGCATGTTGCCGACACAACGATTTGAGACAGTGCAAAATAAGCCATACAATGTGTCGTGAAGCAACAAACAAAGCTTAAGTACTGTTGGTGGGATTCGGCGATTCTTCTGTGGGCTCCCTGGACCGAGCTGATATTATATTGGACAGATCAATTTCTTTGTCGAGGCAGGCCAGCCTCTTTCGTTTCTCATCAAGCAAGTATTTAACAATGATATCGTTTGATTGTAAAATGACCTTGTGAGTATTACCAATGGAAGCCAATGTTGAAGCCGTGTCTCCTGCAACATTTAAAAACCAACATGTCAATCGGACCGTAAGCAAAAAAAATCCTGCCTATGAGGATGAAAATACTTGAAAAGAAAAACCCTTGACTAACGTATGCACGAGGCTAGCTCGCTGAGCGACGATTCCTTAGTGATCCTTTGCTTCTTGTTAGCTGGCTGCATCTTAAAATTCGGGCCACATTGGAGAAACTTACTAGAGTATATCACGATTTCAACATTCACATAAGCTTTTTCCGCCCCACACGCGTTTTGTTTTGGAAAAACGAGAGGCTTATTAAAGGAGGAGGAAATTTAAAAGGACAGGACAGACATCAGCCCGATCAGTCGGTGAAGAGAGATAGGAATACGATTGTTATTTTTTGTAGCAAAAGTGGCGGGAAACTTTCATTCTTAGTATTACTGTATACATTTTCAACATAATCAGCGCCATCTCGCGTTGCAAATTTCGAACTAAAAAGTACCCTTAAAACTCTACTGCTACCTACCGTAGGTCACTTAGGTAACTTAACTGCTGGCAGCATTTGCGGAATACTGCAGCCTCTGATTTTATCATTCTATAGTAAAGAGAGCCGTAATCTGGCCAGTTAAAACAGCAGATGACGTGAAAGTCGAGAAAAAAGTGTGAAGATTTCATCGCTGTTGACTGTCGTCTGCTGTTTTTACTGACGATTACGGAACAGAGTGCCAGTTTAATTCAAGGTAGTTGACTTACCGACCTGACGGTAACGTAGAGCGCAACCTTAAATTACTTGCTGGTGACGATTGCGGAAAACACCCATGGTGTACAATGTGTGTGAACTAATGTGTAGTAATTATAATAATTGCTACTAATAAGTAGTGCCATACTGCCATATGGTCGATTTTATTAAACCATATAAGTAGAATCTCTATACTTTTGAAGGTCAATTTTCGGGTAAAAAATTAATTGTAAACTTGCCGCAAACAGCACAAACGACGTTAACTTTTTATTTCGTGTTTGTAATATTAGTTGCGGCTGGTTTATAATTGATTAAATGGTACTACTATAAATAGTAATAACTAATTGGATCAGCGCTATCTAGCGTTGCGGATTTCTGAACTAAAAAGTGGCCCTAAACTTTTGACTCACAGCATTAGCGCTTAGAGCCATTTAACTTATTATAAACCAGCCGCAACTAATCTTACAGATGTAAAACAAAAATTTAACGATACATGTGTTTTTGGCGGCAAGTTAACAATCTATTTTTAATACGAAAATTTATCTTCAAAAGTGTGAATACATAGGAGGTCGATTTTTTGGTAGAAAATAGATTTTTAACCTGCCGTCAAAAACACATGTTTCTTTTTTTTTTATTCTATTGTTTCATCATGAGTTGCGGCTGGTTTATAATAAGCTAAATGGCTCTAAGCGCTAATGCTGTGAGTCAAAAGTTTTGGGCCACTTTTTAGTTCAAAAATCTGCAACGCTAGATGGCGCTGATCCAAATAATTATTACTATACTTACAGTAGAGTTGTGTAATTAATTATAAACCAGCCGCAACTCATGATTAAGCTATAAAATTAATAAATAACGATATTTGTGTTTTTGGCGGCAAGTTAAAAATTTATCTTTTACCTGCTCTACCTCCAAAAGTATAAATACATAGGAAGTCGATTTTTGGTTAAAAAACAAATTGTTAACTTGCCGCAAACAGCACAAACCAAGTAAACTTTTTATTTTATAACCTTAAGATTATTTGCGACTGGTTTATAATTGATTAAATGGCTCTAGGCGCTAAAGCTCTGGTTCAGAAGTTTAGGGCCACTTTTTAGTTCAGAAATTCTTAATACTAGATGTAAGCTTGCCGCAAACAGCACCGACATCGTTAAATTTTTGTTTTACATCTGTAAGATTAGTTGCGGCTGGTTTATAATTGATTAAATGGCTCTAAGCGCTAAAGCTCTGGTTCAAAAGTTTAGGGCCACTTTTCAGTTCAGAAATCCACAACGCTAGATGGCGCTGATCCAAATAATTATTACTTCTTACAGTAGAGCCATCTAATTGATTATAAACCAGCCGCAACTTATTTTATAAACACCAAATAAAAAGTTGACATTTTCTGTAATATTTGCGGAAATTTATCTTTTACCGGAAAATGGATCACTAAAAGTATAGACATTCTACTTATATGGTTTAATAAAATCGACCAAATGGCACCACTTAGTATTGTGATTACTATAAATACACACGATAAATTTAATTGAATTCAATCTTTGTGATGACTCGATTTAATTTAATGCCTCGATAATCACTGTGGATGTATATGTATAATATTATAAACGATGGTTTATGTATAATATTATGCAAAGAAACACCAAAAATTTATTCTTATAAATCCTATGAGGGATATTCTGCCGTGTGGCGGCGCTCGTGAGGGCATGGGGGTAAAAAGCGCCAAAGTCAAACTAAATTTAATTTCTAATTTTTTACATATAAGAGACAGATACAGAGTATGAAAAAAGACTGCAATATACAAAAATAATTTTAAAAAAATAGTTATAATCGTTCTATTGACATGTATAACAAGAGTTGGCACATGTAAATATAACCTACTCATTAGATGAAGTACCAGTAATTTGTTAAATATTCAATACAAGTTATGTGAGCTTTTTGATGCTTCTTTCACCGTCCCCCATTTTTCATAATTTTTATCATTACACAATGGATAACTGTAGTAGTAAAAACTACGGAAAATGGACCAATAAACAATTAATTTTGGAGCTGAAAAAAAGAAGTGCAAAGACAACTGGGAAGAAGGCTGATTTAGTGCAAAGGTTTGCCGCGTATTTAATGTTTATGAAAGATGATGGTTCATCATTATAAATTTTTTATAGGCTCATTGATTACGACAAAATATGTATTAAGGCTACACCTGAAATTAAAGAAGAATTTACATTAATTACCCCTGATCCTAAAAACTACAGAGACTTGAATGCCAATAAACCGTTT